AAACTAAACTTAAAAAACAACAACGACACTCTGGCGATCAATGGAAGCGCGCCAACTTTGAGCGCGGGAGTTCGGTACATCAGGCCGAATCACGGGTTCCCTGCCGCGGCGTACATCTGCACGCCACATTTCGAGCGGTTTGTTTTTGGCCTGTTGTGAAGGGGATATATTCCTAATGACCTAACTTTAAAACAAAAGAGAAATTTGAAGAACAAATCTAATCATAACAGTTGAGTCAATTCAGAGGTTTACATGATTTCATTTAATTTCTCTTTTTCCTGATTTTTTGGGAAAATGTTTTTTCTAATGCTATTATATTAATGTTGTTATCATTATTGACATTATGAGTGTCACTGTGTTATTAACAGTGCTAATACCATTAAAAAATAGGAGAGCATATTTCTAAAAATCTCTCCAACTGACTCATTGTGGAGACATCTAGTGTAATTGCAATTAATAACTAAACTCATAATGGGCAAGAAAGAGAGAAAGAAAGAAAGAAAGAAAAAGACAGGAGACAAAGAGAGAAAGAGACAGGAGAGAGAAGTGAGAAATAAAGAAACGGAGAGAGAAAGAAATAAAGAATGAGAGAGAGAGAGAGAGAGAGAGAGAGAGAGAGAGTAGAGGAAAACACATACACACACATGTGCGTGGACACACACAGACACAAAACTAAGCCAATAACATTAGTCCTCACCTGCTGAACAACAGGCTCTAATTCTGTGTTCTTGCCAAACATGGCAGCACTCGCATCCTTAATCACTTTGATGGCTTGAACTGGTTGTTTGTCTGACTCCTCTTCAGGGAGTTCTTGGTTGCATGGGAGGCAGCTAAAGGCACTGGTGGTGGTAATGTCATTTGGAAATGAGTTATCTGCTCCAGTGTCAGCATTATCACTGGGAGAAGCTTGATCACCACTGTTTGAGACTGCAGCTCTGCCAGCGCAAGAGCTGGCATTAGCTGCAGCTTTGCTTTGGGTAATGCTGACATCTGCATTGAGTAACTCTTCAGTAATTTCTGCAGAGGGGGGAGGTCTTGTTTTAGGGACTTCTGGGCTTTTGCTTCTATCAGATAATGGGGAACCTGTGAATGAGTACAATGATTATCTTAAAAAGATGAAAGAGGAGCAATTTTTAAAACAAACTCAATATGTGTATATCACTGAGGTCCCTAAGATTACTTTCCTTAAATCCACTCACCAATATCAGACACCAAGTCCTCAGAGTCACTTATATCTGAGGCATCATCATCATCTGTGGTGATAGGTACTGTGCCTCTGTTCATTTGTTCCAGCACATTGTTTATTTTTTTCTCCAATTTTTTCTTTCTTGCTTCTAGGATAGATATTTTCCTCTCCATAATTTTCTTCACTTGGTTGATATTCTCTTCACATTTTCTCTTCTTGTTTACCAAAAACATCAGGTTCTTGATGCCTGTACTTAACTCGGTGCTTGAATCTGTGTTCTTTTTGGTTGTTTGGCGAGAAGCTATATTTTCTTCCGATATTCCTTTTGATGCTTCATTCTCCTGCTGATTTCCTTTTTCTCCTTCACCTTTGGAAGCTGAGGGATCAGGGAGAGTGCTGCTTCCTGAAACACAAGAGACTGGAAGTTGAGAAGAACTGGGAATAGTGAGAGATGCTGACTGCTGCGGGGGTGTTATTCCTTGTACAACCCTGGTAAGGGGTGGGAGAACTCTGGTGTTTTGTACTGCTTGGAGAGGATCACCATCACCAGGTTCTCCTAGGAAGGATGTATCTCCAGTCGATTCTGTGTTACTTGGCAATGCAGCAGTTACAAGAGGAGCATTAGGAATAGTGGTTGGAGGGGTAATACCAATACTGTTAAAATCAATAGACTCATGACTCAATGGAGCTGGATGAGCGGAGGCTGAAGTATTAGAGCAAAGAGGTATCATCACCATGGCAACGTTCTGGTTTTGGGGTATCTCGAGTGGCACTTCTTTTTTTATTCTTTTATCTGGCATGTCTTCCAAAAGGTCCTGAGTCTTCCTCTTGCAGCTTCCTCTATTCCCATTGTTATTATTCTCACTCTGTTCTTCTGTCAGCTGTAGTCTTTCTTCAGAATTTTCCGCCTGTGGAATAGTTGGCTGAGAAGAGTTTGCTTTCATCATGATAGTTCCTTCTACATGCTCAGTCTCACTCACACGTTCACTCTCCTTTGTAATTGTCTCTACATCTAAATTATCTTCCATACTTCTGTTCTCAAATATGACTGTCTTATCAGAGTCAGTTGACTCATTTCCTTCACTGTCATATGCCAGCTCTAAATGATCATCGACTTCATCTGCAATTCCTGCTGGCTCACTACCTATACTGGTTGCCTTTTCTTGCTGATGTATATCAGGCTGGGTGCTACTGCAACTTGCCTTTGCAGCCTCTACAGGAACTTCAGAAGCACTGAATATGTTTTTCAAGTTGCATACATTGGGCACCTTTTCTTGCTGATGTACTCCTGCTTCTGCAGTCTGTAGAGGGTTTCCAGTGGAACTAACTAACCTTTGAAAGGTGCTTTCTTTGGATGTCTTTTCTTGCCCATGTTCTCCTGCCTGGGGACCATCACCAATTGCCTTTGCTGTCTTATCAGGAGCTTTGATGACATTGTCTATAGGTGGCAAGTTGTATTTTGAAAGGGATTTTTTCATATTAGCTTTAATTTTCTTAATGAACTCTCCTTGCTCCTTGGATGTTGTAGTTGGTAGAGCAGGTATTCCTGTTGTTTCAGAGAATGAAGCTGCCTCTGTTGATGACTCTGTCACTGAAGGCACTGATGCAAGGCCAGCAGGAGGTGAAGAGGATGTTGTGAGGGAGGGAGTGTGTTCCGAGGATGGTAAATCTATGTGGTCTGCACTGGAATTAGCCAGTGAATGGCAATTAACAATGACTATGTTGGATTCCATGTCCGTACTGCTACTGGTAGATAAATCTCTTGTTCCTGCAAAAACTTCAAGATTTTTTCTTCTTTTTGTTTTGGATGTAACATCTTTCTTACCTGGAGAAAACATTTTCTGTTGATATTCAAAAGCCTCTTTTGCTTTCTTCATTAATTTGGGGCCTAGTCTTTTCTTCTCTTTCTTGCTCCTTTTCTTCTTAGGGCTTGGCTTCTTTTTCTTCACTTCTGTCTTCTTAATAGTCCTGACATCCTCATGGGTCATGGGATTCATGAGATCTGGAAGATCGCTGTCACTGGAAGGGCTGTTGTCAAAAGCATCGAGCCTGCTGCTTGGTACCTCCTGTATATTCCTTCCTGCTTTGTCTGCTTCTAAACTCATACTTGGCTCTTTCCCCACTCCTCCTAAATCAGATCTTACAACTGTTTTTGTGTGTTGTGCTTCTGCAGTATATCCTTTTTTGCTAGTGTTCTGAGTCTCTGTCAGAGGAAGGTTAAGGGACATTTTGGGATGTGATGGAGGGGCACCCACTGATCCTGTATTTTTGTGATGCTTTTTTGTGCCAGAGTTCAAACTTGAGGTGGCAGGTTTGGATGATTTGCTTTTATGCCTGTAATACAAAATTGTTGTATCAAAATTCTAAGTATGTAAGAAAATGAAATCTAAAATCTATAAACAATGGGAAATCAATTATGAAAAGATGAAAATTCATATAAACACATAATAAGCATGTATGGTAAAATTTTAAACACAAACTCGTATAGATTCACACACACACACCACATAAATAATCTCTCTCTCTTATAAATGCTGTATTCTCTTGGCTGAAATTCACCTTCGTCTCTTTGTGTACTTCTCAATGGTGCGGTGTGGTAGCCTCTCAAGTCGCACTTGGGGCACTATGGGCTTTTTCAGATGGGGTGATGGGTGGTTGCTGAGATACACATAGCTGATTGCCTCCATAAACTTCTGCACGCTCATCATTTTCTTGGCTGCAGAGAGAGAGAGAGAGAGGGAAAAATAAAATACACATATTGGTTATAAGTTGTTGGTCACCTGGGGAAGGGAAATAGAGAAGAAAGAGGGAGGTGGGGAGGGGAGGGGAGGGGAGGAGAGGGAGGAAGTGAGACATCTTGGAAGGGAATTAACATAAAAGAAAAGTTTCCTATTTTCATTAACAGTTTCTAAGATCACCAAGTATACTTTTCCAGTAAAAAAATTATATTCTTTTAATATTAGGTGTCCTGTAGAGATATATAGTGATTTTGATAAGTGGAGTAATACCAAAAATATCCTAAATTGGATAATGAAATTCTACAGACATGCCCAGCAGAACAGAAAGTCTATGGATTATACCAGCTTTAAAACATTTTACAGCCTTTTTTTTGTTTTTTTAATCTACAAGAATACCATGAACTCTAACTAACCACTTATCATGGGGCTTCACCACCTGGACTCTGGACTTCCTGGACCCATGTGATTTTCAAATACATTCAAGCCAAAAACCCTAACTAGTCCCTTGCCAGGGGTACTATGCCTCCTCTAGTATTTCTGGCAAAGTATTTCCTAGTGAGAGGGCTCTACATCCTGGAACTCCATTGCAAAAAATATATGGTATAAATGACTAAATAACTAGTTTCTTTCTCCATAGAATTCACTATTTGAAGGACAAATACCATTATATAAAGAAACACTGCAATAACATCTTTCTTTAATTCTTCTAATGACTGAACTGCTTGGTATCTACTGTTTTGACACTTGGATAGTTAATGGACACTGATATCACATTAAGATGGACATTAATGCCTATTTCTTCTGCAAGGCCAGTATATTGTTTTAAAAATAGTTTGCAATTTAACAAAAAAAAAAAATTGTAAACAAATCTTTCCCACTAGTGCTACTCTAGGAATGAAGGTTCCCAGATCTGTCAAAAGTCCTGGTCATGAAAATGTACAGATTATTGAAAATAAATAAATAAATAATTTAAAAATTGTTAAATATGTATGGTAATATCAGTAGTGCAGTAGTAGTGAGGTAAGCAGTTACTGCAGAACTTGATACTGAACTCTAATCATTGTGTGCAACTTACAAAAATTTGCTCACCATAATGTAACTAAATGCATATTATAGGAACTTTATTGTGTTCCTATGTGAGTGCTCCATTTTTTCCCTTTCAAGCAATTAATTTCATCATACAAAATGAGAATATATAAATTTCTTTAAAATATAGTGCTAATCTCCATACTTTAACCCACTTTTCATCTATGGCATATCTTCACAAATTGATAATAAGAAAGCTGTGCATTTCATAATACTTTGGTTTATATCTAATGAAGATATCATGGTTAACATTACTGAGAGCAACGCACAGAGATAGAGGGAAATGGATACTGCCATCTTATAGAACATCAAAAAATAGAGTGATAAACAACACAGGTGAAGCTGCAGTGGCCTCAGATTTACCACGGAATAATGAAAATATCTGATGCATATATCACTTCAGAAACTAAGTTCACAACACTCTAAGACAGCCAGAGTTCTTAATGTCATGTTTACTTAAGTAGGAACAAAGTACCAATAAAGGAGGGTACAGGGGGGATTGCACCTCTGTCTGGGGAATAAACAGACTAGGAAAGGTTAGGTTTAGATTTTGGGTTTGCACGATACCCTGGTTTTTGGACTTCATGGAGGGTGTGTTGCTTTTGGTAACAAATACCACTATCTTAAAGAGGGAAAAACTGATACATGAAATAATCTACACATACAAAAATAGCTGTGGATCCCCAGGGGGTAAATTTCCAGTTTCATCCAGCCTCCGGCTTTTGAAACAATTCTTTTTGGAATGGAATCTTCCTTCATAGTTTAACACTGTTATGCTGTTGTTTTCTGCCCATTTGATTCGTTGATGAGTGGTGGAACTTGTATTCCCTGATGGAAAAGTCGATAAAATGTGTAAGAGTTGGCTCTGCACTTTATTTTTGGGAGGAATTAGCATGATTCACACACACACACACAACAATGCTAAAATAACTTTAAATTGGGTTTGCTGAATCTCTGGGGGTAGGAGCCATGTTTCACCTATACAATTATGGTATACAATTCTGCGGTTAAATCCAGGATTACTTTCTGCCTGATTGATGCACAATATAAATGCATTAAATCATGATTGGACAAAAGCAACTTTTTAACATGAAAATGCATTTTAAAAATTTCTTGATAACCCTATCAAATTTATGCATAAGGCTTCATAAATTGATCCTTAAATAACAATGGTATCTTATTGTTTGGTTGCATTAATAGTAGGGTAAAGCAAAGCCAAGCATTAAAAAAAAAAAAAAATCTCAAACAAACTTTGGACACATTTTCATAAGAGCTTGCAAACGTTAGTGATGAATATCATCAAATATGGCAACAGTTCAATACTTGTCTTAAAATGTAAGATGGAATTTATTGACCTTTGTCAGAGCACAAAATACTTTGAAGGCCGTGGCGGTATTTTATGGCATGCAGCTTAAAATTATTGCCTGTCCCACGTAACTATGAAAGTTGTAGCCGATTTTGTCGAGCGCTGTGACGGCACACCCAATCATTCAACTGCGGTGTCCATTTCTTAAATTATCACTTGTTGTCATTTCACGTGGTAAGTGTTGTACTCTGTGTTTGAACACATTAAGATATCAATATCATTTAATGTGCTTTTAGTTTTAGTTTTTGAAATACTGTTTTAAACACCCTATGAACATTAATTTTTTGTAAACTCTTACCCTCAGTCGCTCTCGGTAGAACTATCTCATCAATAGGAATAGGGGTAGATAGAGGTACGGTCTTTTCTTTCCCATCCTTTGCAATAAAATATTGTTGAGGAGTGATTCTTGTTTTTACTTAATACACAAACAATACCTGAAATTATATAGATATAGCTCACATATATTAGCTGCTTCACCCTCTCCTTCTGGTAAAGCCAGAGGTTTCCATGTTTTGAGTATGAATATATGGGTTTATCAAATGGTGAGCATATCCATGATCCTTTCATGCATGGTTTGCATATCATCTGTTGCAATGATGGATTTTGGTTTATTTACTTCATTATGTGATGAGCATGTCTGCCATGCAAGAAGTGTTGAGTACTACCACCACAATTTCCTGTCATCTTCAATATCCTCAAAAACGATTAACTCACCTGTGCTCACCATCGCTGTTATATTGGTGGTGCATCTAATGAAATCTGAATGTGCTACTTCAGAAGTAGAACTGCTCTAATCAGCACTGATGGTTATGGATATCACACAAATAATATAAACAGTAAAATGCTTTAAAAGTACTGGCAGACTCACACAGTAGCATCCGATTTAAAAAAATTCCTGCTCAATTCTTACTCCCCCTCTTGCCTATAATCTGGGCCAAACACATTGATTTGCGCGGAGTAAGAAATTTATTAATTACTGTAAATAGTCGACACTATCTTGTATAGTCATTCTTTTATGCAAAAACAAATTCTCCTTCATGTAAGTTTATGTGGGCTTTATATACACATGTAAGTAAGATATAACAACAGAATTAACAAAATAAAATGGCATCATTATTTTGTTTACAAAAGTAGGAAAGGATATCAGATAGTGGTTTTTAAAATATTGAGTTTTTCATTTCAAGCTCACAGACACCTGTGTCTCTAATAACTTTGTTATATTTGAATTGCGACAGAAGTACATAGAAGATAAGTTTCTTAGATTTAATCGCTCTGTCACATGCACATATTTTCTTTTCTGTTTTAAAGATGGTGAGTTGAAACTTGACCTGTACCAACCACTGAATATAGGAATTATAATTGCAAGGTTGGATGGTTGTGTGAAATGATAAAATAAGAATTTACTATTCTACAAACTTAATCATTGCTGATTTGCCATCTCCACAAATTCCAATGCTAAAACGGTTTAAATTGGGTTAGCCCACGCCTACCGAAATATGTGGTAGACTTATAAGGGACAATATGTAGTATAAGGTAATGGCAGAGTTGGGTAAGAAAACTTACATGAAATGATAGAACAATATAAACATAAACAAAGTTCTTCTATGGCAATATGAGTGCAAATGCTTCTCAAGGGTGCTATATGTGAAAGAAGAGAGAAAATCCCACAATTTTGGCTAAATAACTCATCTTGTTTACCACGCGATGGTGAAATCTAGATGCATTTATTACCATGGGGGTCCAGGGGGCATAGTCCCCTGGCTAGGCATATATATTACCACAGGTGTCCAGGGGGCAGAACCCCCTGGCTAGGAAATATATACCATGGTGTTAGGTTAGGTCGCCCATTTGCACAAGGAACAATGCCTAGAATCATTGAAAGCAGTGGATTTCATGCAGAAAAATATCAAAATTGTTTCAAAAGTAGCCCACTTTCCTCTTCTACATATTGATGGGGGGGGGGGGGGAGATCTTCTCTTTTCTTTTATGTATAGCACCCTTGGGAAGCATTTGCACACATGTCATAGAAGAACTTTGTTTTGGTTTGTATGGTTCTATCATTTCATGTAGGTTTTATTACCCAACTCTGCCACTACCTTATACTACATATTGACCCTTTCAAGTTTTAAGGTGTTGAATTTTAAAGTTATCTTAAAGTTTTAAAGTTATCTTAAACTATCGAACCGACTGGCCATAATGAATGCTGCCAAAAAACTCCCCTTTGCCTGTTACCTTCAAGCAAAACCACCCCAAGGTTTCGTGCTGCAAACGTAAACAAAGGCATCACTTGATCTTTTCCGCTGAAATAATAATAAATCAAACCGAAATAACTCTCTCTCAGTACTCACACTCTGCCATGTCGATCATGTTGAAACACTGAATCTTAAAACATGAAACTGCTTGCCCAAAAGTGTCAAAACATTCACGTATCAGCCAGCACACCCTCTGTCGATGCCTCCACTAACTAAAGACAGTCCACACAGTGCTGCCAACACTAAGTCACTGCACGTTTCCTATATTCTCTGGGAGCAAACAGAACGGGAATTCGAAGAGAAACAATAATAATTTAAGGCTTTCCTTTACATATAAGGCTACACACTGAACACCTTTATTTGGTGTACCGTGATGAAAACGATTATGTAAAAACATTGTGCAGTTCAAAGAACCTTAGTTTACTTTCCATTGTTATATATATATGAAGTGCTGCTCCGAGGGAAACCGAGCGTGTTAATTTCTCTAGGACAAGTCAAGAATAGGAGGGCTAAGTACTAAACAGGACATCTTTTCCGTTATAATAAACACAAATTAGTTAGCAATGTATAATCGCTATCTCTATCCAAAGGTTATTTATTTTATATCGAATGATCTATTATATAAGAAATCTACTAAATTTATATGTGTTTCAAAGAAAGAATGAATGATCCTTCCCCTAGTAAGAAGAAAGCTGAACAGAGAACATTACGTCTTTGGTGTAAAGGCCGGCTTACACGGCGCTGCTTTCGACGCTAAACGTTTTCTTCTTCTCTCGCCAAATTATCGCATATCTGGCTTATCCTTATTTACAGATAAAAGTATATGGGAACAAAAGTGCTAAGTGTATTTGTGCTATTTGTCCATCACGCATTAGATTATTTGCATAAGTCTTTCAACAGTTTTCAATAATCTCATGTAGATTATTGAAAACAAAACGAGTATATCTTCCAATGTATCAGATGAAATTAAATATTCACATAGTTCTTTATACCTCATGTTAGGTGATCTTAAAGGCTGTATCACATGACATTCCGAGAGATAGTGCCCAAGCATTCGTTTGTTTTCTTCATTATTTAGTCTACATCTTGATTCATCTGCACTTCTTGCATCGTGCAGTTGCCAGTACATTCTGTAACATAAACGTATTCTGGCAATAACCAAGTCACATTGTCTGGGTTGACTTCGGTGCCACCCATAGGAGAGCTTGCTATCTCTATGCTGATCGTAGTGCCTTATGGTAACAGCTTTCAGGTCTTTGGATGTTAGTCAGATCTACTAGTTCTACCTTATGAGAACTCCAATACATGTGTAACCCTAGCAAGAGGATTCCCAAGATCTATATTCACAGTATCTTTGCTGCAGGTTTCCCTC